TATATGCCAAATTTAAGTTAATTAGAAATGTAGATGCTGTTTGTTTTATCTGTCAAAAAGCTCATGTTAAAAAAAAAAAATCTAGACACACTTTTCCCCCCAACATTTATCATCTAAATAATAGTCTTGCCAAGATGGCAGCCTCATAATAAACTCTTTTCAGTGGAGTGATGGGTAATGAAGCTTGCTTGTGAAGGCAGCGAAAAATGTTGTCTAGCCAAATGTGTGGATATGATGGCTAGAGAATCAGTGGACTTTCTCAGTCATCAATCTTTTTAGTAGCCTCTTACACATCTGAATATTTTGATAGATGATCTAATAATTGAGTTATCTATCTTTCTAACTATCAGAGTTGCATAAAAATTATTCTCACATGCTATTGAATATTATATATATTGAGCATCCAGTAAATTTTTCAAAAAAGGTCCAAGAGGTGGAGGAATTTTGTTTGTCTTAAGCAGCCTTTAATATCTTAAATGATAAATTACTATGTATAGAATACAAAACTATATGTACTAATATAAGGAAAAAATAAATAATGTCAATAGCTGATTACAGATAGGACTCAGTAAATAAAGCATTTAAAAGCATGGGACTGGTGAGGTTAATGCATAGTCAAAGTAATTTGAAGTACAAAATGAGTAGATTCAGTAGTCCCTGGGCAGTTAATGGACAGGAATCACATTTCCACTCAGTTGCACAAATTCCTTGTGCCTAAGTCTTGGCTTAGGGAAAAAGAAATACACTATAGTGTACCACGTTTCCATTCAGCATCTGTGAGAGCTATGAGAAAATTTCTTTTGATTAAAGATGAGACTGAAATGTGTATATTGAAACTTCCTACATTTTGTTTATTCTGAGGGATTGTACAATATGGATTCCTCTTTCCAGAGCACAAGAATCTGCTTCCCTAGAACACTAATCTTGTGATTATGGAGGCACTGAGGATATTTGGATAAGTTGCATTAAGCACATCATCAGATGTGTCTTCCTACAGCTTCTGAGTGGCAGAGCAAAATGCTTGTTTGTGTTAGTGTAATTTTTTTTAAATGTTGCATTATATAATTCTTAACTTCAAATGCATTTCTGGTCAGGTAAAAATTATTTTAACAATAAGAAATACATTGTTGCATTAAGAATATTTTTCATTTAAATATTTTTTTTCTGCCTCAGTGCCACCAGTTTATGTTCAATTATGTACTTTTGTAGAGACTGTAAAATAGTCCTTCTTGTAAATTCTTGAAAACTGTGTGATGGGGGGCTCATTTATTACATTATTTTCAGTTTTTTAGTACTTTCTTTGTTTCATAACTACAGCAAGGTATAAACAAGTATGTTTGATGAATTGTTCTCCAGTTAGCAAAGAGGCTTTTCTTTCTCTGTTCAGAACTAGAGTGACTTTCTTGAGGATATCAAGAAGTTTTAAGTCATTTAAGAATTTTAATGGAAAAGTATCAGAGGGATTTTTCTTTGTAGTTACTACCTGTTTATAGGAGCGTGAGAAAGATGCATTTTAAGGACTTGCATGTTGCCAAAACTTGACAGCACTTTGTGAAAGTATCATTGAACCTCATGGGACCTTGCCCCTGCATATGGATCTGCAAATTGAACAAACCTTGGGCTGTCTCAGTGGCTGTGACTCTCACTGTGGTTGTGACTCTCATGCTCAGTAAGCAAAATTCTTGATGTTTATTAGTTCTTCCTAAACACGCATAATTAGTTGGATAAAATTTGGGTACACATAAAGCAAGACACTGAAGTAAGGTGACTTGAGTATCAAAAATGTAAAAATTTACAATAAAATTTGGCTCTGAAGTTCCACATTTATCTTGCAATATTGCATCCCATTTGAGTAGTCTATATTTTTGTCTTCATTAATATTTAGATTGATTTTATGCGGTTTTATGTTACATAAGTAAGATGTTACAGAAGTATAATTTAAACCTAGAACTAAGGCATTATAAAATAAGTTACAAAAAAAAAACCCTTACATTATTCTGTTTTATTACTTGTTGAATTTTAATAGAAGAAAGCTGAAATTGCTTCTGAATGTATAAATTCATAAGCAATTAACTGGACTTTATCAACATCAGTGTTATGTGGCTTCTTTTGCCATTTAGGAAATTGGCAGTTACTCTAGTTAGCATTTGTAGCATTTCTGCTAGAGAATATATCAAGCTCCTAAGCATGCACAGTGTGTTATATACACTTACGTTTGTGTGTATACTTTATGAATGTTTAGATCTTTATTTAGGAAAAAGGTCTTCATTTCCCTCTCTTAATCTAAATAGTAAGCATCTGTGTTCCTTCTTTTCATTTGATTAGCATGTTCTCATCCATCACTAGTCTTTGATATGAACATCAGGAAATCTGTCCTTTTATTTAAATGATAAATGTGCCTTTGTCATGAATACTTACAGACATTACAAGATTTACATCTGAATTGTCAAAGTGTAACTGCAGGCTTCTCTGTTGTGTGACATTATTAGTGAAATAAAGAACTTTCATTTTTTTTATGGATAGGCCTTAAATATTGACACTGCAAGGCTAAATTAGTTGTGATGCTGAAAAAAATTTTCCTTCATCCACTGTTTTTCTAAGATGTGTTGTTTATCAACAAGAGACAATCAGCTGCATTAGAATCTCTGCAGACATTCCTATTTACATGTTCTAAACCTGTCTCTTCATGTTTCATTATTTAGGTCTGATGTCTAGTTAGCTCTTATCAAAACTAATACCATCTGAAGTACCAGGCTTCCAGTAGACACACAACCAACATAAAAATTTCAGTCTCACTAATATTTTTGAAGACAGTATCTCTTTAAATCTCGGCTTTGTTTCAGTGTATAGATAAATTATATCTTGGAAATTCATTTCAGTGAATGAGTCACTGCTGTTTCAATAGATGAAATGCATCTGCAATTATATTCTGTATGTTTTTAAATTTAAAAGATAGCACAAATACAAGTGTTTAGATTAAAGCTTTGGTACCGTTCTTACTATGTCTTGATGCTACTAAGACAGAAAGAGCTACTGTATGGCTGTCTTCTTATTGTTGGAATAGTACAGTAAGTTAAAATGTTTTGTAAGACAAACACCTAGATATGATTTTATAAACTATTTTATCATCTATTTGTAGCTAAATTTGAATGTGTCAGGCAAATAGGTAATTTTAGTTCCTACAGAAAGCTGGTGTTCCTTGAAATCTCTAGGTTTTCTTACACAGGATAGAACATTTTTTCCTCCTTTTTTTTTCTGCTCTTTCATTTATTGTATTCTGAATATATATCATGGCTGAATTCATTTAATGTTCTAAGTGCTGAAATGCTGAAATGGAATTTTTGAAATGTATAGTTTGAAGATATTGCTATTTATAATCTTTAAAACTCACAAAATAGTTGTGAGAGGAATTTAGTGAGGGATCCCACAAAATTATTTAAGGACCCATGATACTGATCAGTTTATAATTGCAATATTCTGTAATGTCATATATACAATACACTACAATAATTAGAATTTTTTCAACATTTTGTGGTTTTTTTATGTCAGAAACTTTTACAGGAACATTTCTTGTGTAGTCAAATTTTTTTATTCCAAGCTTGTTTATATTATAAAGTCATGTAAAATTGATCATATTACTTTTATCTCTTTTCTTTTGGAAAGCTCTGTTTATTTTAAACTAATTAAAATTATACATATTTCAGTCTTTCTGTAGAAGACTACTTTTGAAAGTATATTCTCATTTAATTGGTCCAAAAAGAGAAATATGTTGGGTCCTTTTCAACCCAGCCCAACAAAGTGAAGTGGTATTTTCTGGCATACGAAGGATGCCTGTGAGTTTTTGAGACACTGAAGCTGTAACCAAACTTGAAGAAGATGATGGCAATGAGCTTCTGTCCAGAGTTAATCAGCTGCAGAATTTGTAAACTGCATATGTGTCAAAGTTGAAAATGTTAGCACTCTGATAGAAGCTTGAAAAGGTTAGAGCCGATAAAAGCCATCAGCAGTTAAAGAAGGTGATTTATGGGAATGTAATGACACAAAATGCCTCATTTATCACTCATATATAGATAGGTTAAGGTTTCTGTGTCATACTTTAAAAACTTGACCACTTAGAATTGTCAAAATAGGTACTTAATTGCCCATCATACATTTCAGTTCAAATTTCCTTTGCTTGAATTTTGGTGATTTTACTGTTTTGCTTCTCATATGGTTCTTTTTAAAGTCATTCATATTTCATATTTATTTCATATTTGTTTCAAATGGTATGCTCAGTGCTCTGTTAGAACTTTTATTAGGTAAAGCTGTTGGTTTGAATGCTGTCCAAATCTTTTGTTGATTTACAATTTCATTCAGCCTAACTGTAAGGAAAATAACTGAAGGTTTCGTTTTCTTCTGTTCTATACCACTAATTCTCATCAAGAGTTTACAGCTTTCTAATTCAATCCTTACATTTCCTCTCCAAACTGAAATATGAGGTTAAAAGTGAATCCATCAACTGGTTTCTAGTTCCAGTCACTTAAGTTACTGTTTATCTCCATGCAAATTAAATTCAATCCAAAACTACCAGTACTGTTAAATGATCCTAAAACAAAATAAAAATGTTAAGAAAAATGCACAGTAGTATGCTATCTTTTTACTGACTTGATGTAAGGATAGCAGCAAGCAAATCCCATGGATTTGAGACTGACTGGTTTTATTTTAACTGTCCATAATTTCATCATAGTGTTGTAAAAAAAGTAAATGCAAACATGGATAAATACTCATTAAGGTGTTATCTATACAACAATGTTTGTAAAATAAAGAAACTACTCTAAAGACATTGTAATAGTAAAATACAGGTTCAACTGCTAAAAAAAAATTTTTAATAATAAAGTTTCTAAAGATTTGTTTTTCTTTGCCTATTTACTCTTCTTAGACTATTTCATTCTCCTATTTCCAGATCTTACACAGAAAATTCTGAACAGAATAATTTCAATTTTTAATATTAAAAAACTTACCTTTTTGTTAGCTTTCACAATTTATGGCCCCAGTTGTATAGCATTCTGTTTGTTCAGCGATGACCTTCCAGGTTCGATTTAAAAAGAAGTCAGAAGCATTTGTCATGTCTGCTCGATCTTGTCCAGAGGTACCTATTGTAATTATAAAGGACTAATAAGGTTGTTTATAATATAACAGTCTGACAACCCTAAAAAATCTTCTGGAGAGCAACTTCCCTTTTTTTTTTTATTTTGTTTTAAGAGAATAAAACCTCCCTTACCTTCTTGCTGTGTGTTACACTGCATCTTTTTAAATTAAGATGAGAAAGCATAAAGAACTTAAGCCTTTGAAAACTTAATTTAGTTTTAAAATATAAGCTGTATAATTTTCTCATTTGTAATGTCTTTTGGAAATACTCAGTACTAATGTGTCTATAGTAAAGTTGCACCCTATATTTAATTGGTATATATAGAGGTGATGATGATGTACTTAGAAGCACTGAATTTCTTTCACCATATAACAAAAGAAACCCACTTATTACTGTGTTGCAAAAATATGTGCTACATTAATATGGTGATCTCTGTTTCTTAGGAAAAAATCCAAATTAAGAAAATCCTATTTATTCTATTATAAACATTAACATACTGTTGTAAGTGGGTGTTATTATAGTGGTATTTTTCATTATATGTCAGGTTTTTTACAATTGACTTATGATCATTTTTCCCTTCCTATGCCTTTGTCTTGCTTCCTCTTTCCTTTTTCCTCCCCCATTTCAGCATCATCCAGCAATACCACTTCTTTTTATAGACATCTATATACAGTAAACAAAAACCGAATGGAATTTGAATGTTTGACAGAAATGTTTACCTCTCTTGTATGGTATGTAACAACACTGGAGTATTGTCAGGCTACCATACATCAGTAATCTCATCATGTGATTTCAGTAAGGATTTTTTTTCATATCTACAATTGAGACAAATTTATGTTGTGTGTATTTATGGTTGTTAAACTCAAAATTGTCTCATTTCATTAATTTTTAACATTGTGCTCTCTTAATGACTATGAAGAAATGTATTAAAATGCCTTAATTATAGGGCTAGAAGAAGAGAAAGCACAAGTCTTTTTAGCATATGATCTTTCAATTGCTCACTAAAGGATAAAGAGGGCGTTCAAGCGTGGTTTAGATAACTGTCAGCAATAATAAAATGCAAGGTAGTTTGTAGAGCCTTTAAAGACCTTTCGGGGAAATAGATTTAATTAAAAAACAATAAAATGGACTTTTCATTTCAAAGAAATCCAAAATGTTATAAAATTTCAGGATGCTGCTGTATTAAGAGTAATGTATATTTCCAAGGATAAGGAAAAATAACTGAAAATACTCTGCAGACCACAAAGCAGTTGTATCTTTATTTTGTGTGTAAATGTATGTCCTTCACCTTTTAAAACACAGACTATGAATAACATATTAGAGATATTTCATGTTTTCTGAACTGTGGGATTTTACCTGTTTTGGTAAAAATTTTGGTTTAGCTTTGAATGAGGATGGTTTTTTAAAAATATATAAGGTGAACACTTAGCTTCTTAATGTAAATTATGTTCTCACGATTACCTTCAGAACAATACAATTCCTATACTGACAGAAGTTCAGTTGCCTGTTTCAGAGTCTGTAAGTTCCCATTCATCATAGTTGCCTGTCTTATATACTGTGGAAATACATTTTAAAGTATATTTCTGATTTCTGCTTTTTTTCTTTTCACAAAATCAGAAACTACATTTGCTAGTAATGCTTTTGGCTGTGTGGTGTGTTGAAAAGTATATTCAAGCACTTATTCTGCATTATCAAGTTTTACTGCTTCTGGCAAAGACCAGCTTAACTTACATGTGATCAGCAGCGGTTTATAAACAGCATTGACTGCTGTCTTTTTAAAGTTTTTGCCCCTTTGCTGTGCAAAAGCCTCATGGTTTCCTGAGGAAATTTTTGTACATTTTTTTCCCTCACTCTGGTGAGGTCTTAACCAATTTTTTGTAGCCAAATACCAAACAAATCTGTATGAAAGTTGCCTTTGTGTAGCAAGGTGGTTTACAGAGAAATGAACTTCACCAAAGTGTGTTTTCAGCAAATGCTAAAACTCAGTTTTGTAGTTAAAATTGCTCGCCCAAATACATTATAAAACTCATTCATCATGAAAATGGGACTTCAGTATTTAGGGTCTTGTTATATCCTTTTGTAAACTTAGTTTGTATTGTTAACTCCTATCAGTATTCACTTTGTCACTGACTATCCCTGTTCTTAGAGCTGGTCATTCTTCTTTGAAGAAAAGTAAGGGTTTTTTGTCTGCTTGCTCACATACTTTGAACTGAAGTACAAATTAATAGCACAGCCTCTGTAAAATACAGTGGGCATGTTTGAAAGATGTGAAAAAGGTACACATTTCTGGCACTGTTCTGTACAAAAATGCCTGTTTCCTTCATTGCTGGGTTTCCTGAGGCTTGAGGGCACAGGAACCAAGCTGCAACAGATGCATGCACGGTTAGCTTTGGCAATATTTCTGACAAAGAGGTGCCCCACATCATCCTGTCATCAAAGTCCCTTCTGTTTTCAGCTGGTTGTGTCTATTTCTTTCCACTCATCCCTCCTGGTATGGTAGGACTATTTAGTGTGATAATGTTTCTGTAGAATGTGCTCTACTATCTAAATATATATACTATATTCTCTAATCTGAAACTGATGGGCTCCTGCAGAATCATTAGTTTTGATCACTTCTCTTGGACTTGTAAATTCAGTAGAAGCTCAGGTCACATGTGGAGTCTGCTTCCTTTGCCTTTTTACTAGTTTAGTAAAAAGTTTTGTGTGGTATTACTTTTGTTGCCATGACTGATACAGAGATGACTGTTTTTCTGTAGTAACTTCTGTAAACTTTGGTAGGCACATGAAGCTCTCACTGAGTAAAACTTACTATCACAAAGTAGTGTTTTTTTCTTTTGTTAAAAGTCACATTTCCTGTATTTAAAGACCTCTCCTTACTGCTAGTATTTTATTAAAACCAGTAAACTTTCTATATCATTTCACTACATCAAAATGCAACATTCAAGAAAGGAGTGTGCATGATCTGGAATCCTAATCTTCATGTAGGGGAAACTCTAGCTCCTTATGTGTTTGCCCAATAGCACATCTAGCCTCAATACCAGCTGAGGGTTTCATGATGCAAGTAGTAAAGTGGCCAAGGTAGAATAATGGTCTTCATTTATATTGTTATTCATAATGATTCTTGGTAACTGATTCTCATGCATGTGCCTCCAGACAATGGACAGGGTAAGCTATAACAGCTGTAAATGTAGCTTTGAATCTGTTCTGTTGTTGATCTCATTTATTCTCTCAAGGAAGTTACTTGTTGCTTCTATATTTAAAATTCACCATCTGATATTGCATAAAAACATTGCAAGGTTAAACTGGTTTTCTTAAAACTCAAGGTAAAAGACACTACAGATAGAGACATAAAAATATGCTCTGTTATGAAAAATTTCTTTTATTGTATCAAAAGTGTAAACCTAAGCACAGGCATTCTCATAATTTTAATTTTCTTAGCACCATTTATAGGGTGTCAAGGAAGAGAAAAAGAATCCAGAAATACTATCTGTGCTTTGGCATGAAACATTATAAAAACTACATAAAGTTCCAGATATTTTTTGGCTGTGTTAAGGAGATAGAGGATAAACACAAAACACGTCGAACTACCACTCAAATCATTCTTCTCTGTAAAATGTCCAGGGGTACAAGTTCAGAGAGAACAGTATGTATTCTCACTACTATGGTGAAAACTTCCCCATCTGTAGAAGCTCGCTATACTGTCTTTTGTGTCCTGTGTTTTCCTGCTCCTTCTGTGTATAATCATTGTGTGGAGCTCTGAAAATTAATACCCTTATTTGTAGGGTTTTTTTTTTCAATTTAATTGCCACAAGACCACTAAGATGTAATTGCACTACACTGCTGAGTCTCTGCTCTCTCCTTTGGTAGACCTTAAATTTAGCACGGATCTGTGGAATTGGCATGGTGGGAGAATCCCCTTCACATTTCAGGAAATCTCAGGAAAATGTCTGCACTGTAAGGTAGATCTTACCTCAGAGTACTTGTATATGTCTAAATTGCATAAATTTAATTAAAATATTAAATATAAATATAATATAATCTTATAATACTCCTTTTTGTGCATATCAATATGCATTTAGTTCATATTTGAACTAACAATAGTTCAAAATTGTGTCTTGCTGTTGATACATTTCTTGTATCACATCTATAGTAGTCTGTCCCTGGATTTGCTATGATACTCGAGTGTGTCTGAAGTGAAACTAGATAAGATTACTTTTTTCTAAGAACAAAAAATGTGAAAATGGTCATTAGCTGCAGAGAAGAAAAACAAAAGGTGGTAACATTGTGGGTTGTTGTTTTACCTATGAAGAAGTACTCTGTGCTGCATGAGTCTTTTCTATGACATGAGGGAGTTTGTGTACAGCATTGCTTTCAGTAGCTCACAATGTTTGTTTTAGAGTATTAGTCAGATTAGTCAGATTTTATTAGAGCCCATTGAGTTTTGCATAATTAAAATTGTAGCAATAACTAAATGCTATGAAATGTGGAATGCAGAATCTTTGCTTTGCCAAATGTTCTTCTCCAGGGTTTCAAAGGAGGAGCAGGGAAAAGTGGGAGAAGCTTGAAAGTCAAGTCTAATGCTTAAAAATGTTTAAATTTTATTTGAGTCTGTATTTACCTTTTTATAAAATATAAAAGTTAAGAATAATGGATTTTTCTGTTATATTGGTCTCATGCAGCAGCAATAGTATTATGTGCATAGTTTCTGCAGTAGTTGCTCATTTTAAAATGTGAAGTTGTAGGATTGCAGTAATGTGTCACTGTAGACTGGTTTCAGTACACCTGCAAGTTAAATGTTTCAGATACATTGGGGAGAAAAGTTGTTTACTAAGTTGTTTATTGTCTAAATGCTACCAAATGCATATAACTGAAAAAAATTATCATTGCATTTCTGCATCATGCGGCCATCATGGGTATCTACAGTAAATACACATCTTTTTTTAGATAGAATTAATCTAACCAGCAGAGATCTAATTCTTTTTGAAGTCAGTGGGAAAACTTGTGCTGTCCTCAGTGCGAGTAAGAATAAAGCTGCTATCAGTACTACTTTCAATCCATGTAATGATTTGGTCCTTTGAGTCAGGTGACTAGACGGAGCATAAGATGGATGTTTGTACTGAGAGTAAATTCTAGAAAATCCAAAGAAGGGCCTTGAAGATGAAAAAGGGATTGGAGCATCTTTCGTATGAAGATGGGAGACCTCCAGTTGTTTAGTGTGGAGAAGAGCAGGATCAGGGCGGATCTTACTAAGGTCCATAAATATCTGAAGGGAAGAAGTGAAAATATGGAAAGGATTTTGACAGTGGTGCCCAGTGAGAGGATAGGAGGTAATGGACACAGATTGAGGTGCAGGAAAATTTACTGAAATGTTAGAAAAATCTTTTTTCATTGTGTAAGACTATAGCAGTCTTTTCAGAGATGTTATGCAGTCTCCATCCTTGGAGCTATTCAATGCCCAACTGGACAAAGGCCTGAGCAACCAGCTGTAGTTCATCCTGTCTAGCAGGGCTAGGCAACCTCTAAAGGTCCTTTTATACCCTT